GAAAAGTCTATTTCTTCTCTTCATTTTTGGGTCAATTTCTCTTGCATCTCCCAATTTAAGTGTGCTACTCACTGGTTATTCCACTCATGATCCACTCCTTCCCCACCAAACACACACTGATGTGCTCCTTACTCTTTTGGCCTCAGCCATCTCTCTAGATAGCATTGGAGTCATTTCCTTCATGGACAAGGCAGGCAGACATGCCAGTAGAGCATAAAGCCGGGAAAAGCATTGTACAGTCTCCTTTCACTGCTTGCTCGTAAGTCATCTTCCTGTCCCTCCAACAGGAATACTTTATCTCTTATTTCCCTTTTGTCATTTAAAATTAATCAGGGTTAGAATGGTTGGGCCTCCTGTCTGAAGGTATCACAGTTGTTATCCAGACTTGGAATTAGCTCTTGTTCTTCCCTTTCATTGCATTTTTTATAAACATTGTATTTGCTATTCTGTTTGGTCTTATTGTATACCTCCTAGAGTCAGTTAGAGATGGGTGGTATCTAAATTTTAAAAGTTAAATTAATTAAATTAAATTGTCTGACTCCTTTATTCTCCCATTTCACCTTAAAACTTTGATTTCTTTTTATTTCTTCAGGTGGTGTCCATGTTTGCTTGGTGATTACCATACAACGGTTATAAAATAAGATGTGATCACATGGTGACTGTTTAGTGACTTGCATGACTTACTATCATAATTCTGGGCTTAATTGTGGTCACACATTGAGGACCACTGGTCATTTCATAGCAGCCAAGTTATTTCTGTGCTTTTTATGGTAAACCTCTATATATCTGTACCAGTTTCATTCATTTCGGCAATGCTACTACAACATGAAAAATATGACACCTTTTGCCTTTACATGAAATTTTCTGAATAAATTTGGACCCAAATTATATATTAATTTTCAAACATAGATATGTGGGGGCTTTTTTCTTAATTAAAATTGGCACATGGACCATTTTTACTTGGGGTCTACTATAATAGCAGTAAATAGCAGTAAACTCTGCTGCTTTACCTTCACTACAGTTGCAGCCCACATTCCCCCTGCACCTAACCCTTCTAGACATACTGAACAATATACGCAGTAAAACCTTTTTTTAAAAAAAAAAGAAAAAAAGAAAGATGTGGAAAATTCTATCTGGAATAAAGATGAGGAGGACAAGGTTGGATGCTACCATTCTTTAAACTAGAACCCCAATTCCAGTCTGGATGGGATTGTGTTTCATAATCTGAAACAAAAATTTTTTTCAGGATTATCTTCAATAATAGCTTCTTGGTGTTCTTATAAGTTCCTGACTGTGTCACTTGGTGTTCTGTTAGTCTATTTTTCAGTTTTTCCAAGTATCAGGAGTTTTGCATTTTATTGCAAAATGCAATATTGAAGCTTTAGTTTCATTATTAGGGTTTTCAGACAGCAGTCTAGTTTTACTTCATTTAATATTGAATTATACAAAATGTACAATTAAAAAAAAGATATTGCAAGAAAATAATATGAACTCAGTACTGGTTTTGTATAGTTGGAAGAAAGGCATATATGGTCTGTACATGAATGTAGAAAATATGTATTTAGGATAGTACAAAATAATGCAAAATTGATGTTTTGCAAACATGTTAGTGCAAGGGTAGCTACTGCCTATTTATGTTTATTCTTGACTCAACAGATTCTTGTTGTAATTTGGCAGGAATCTTCTTGGATAGGTTTCTATATCTAAAAAAAAAATAAAACCACGGAGACTGTGATGCATGGCTATTGACTAGGGTGGGTTACTCATGGAGTTTATGTGGTAGCATACGGAAAGAATATTGCCCTTGACTGTGAATTGTCAAAGTATTAACACAACATTTTACATTTTTCTCAGTCAAAGAGATTGCCAACTCTCTCTTTCATTGCCAATAGGACACTAAATATCCTTCAAAGAGGCACATGTGTGTCATATACACACTTGAACCAACCATGCTAAAAATTTTCAGAAATGTGCAGAAACATTGCTTACTTATGTCATTAACATTTCATAGTTTTTGACCATGTTTCTATGTGCAGAATTCCTGTAGTCCTTTGTTTGTTTGTTTCATTTATATACTGCTGTAAGCTATACAGTTTAAACATACAACAATGTATGAAGAGCATACCATAGCAATGAAAATAAAATATTAAAGCAAGAATAATAAACAATACAGACATAGCAAATAGAGAGCAGCAACTCCTCAATTCCCCAATGCCTTTCAGAACAACTCCAATTTATCTGTTTCCAGAATATTGCTCATAAGATTGCTATTGGGTTTGGATGCAACTGAGAAACATTACCTGAGGGATGTTTCATTCTTCACTTCAAAAAAATGGAAAACTGAAGATTTTGTTAGGGTGACTATTTTTGGAGCAAAGGATCATAGTATCTCCAGTTTGGTTTGGGTTTGAGATGTAAAGATCTGTATCACCAACATATTGATAATATTGTTGTGTCTTGTTTCAGTGTAGGAGTGCAGAAATGTACAGATTTTTTTCAGATGTACAGTCCCTGTGATATCTTATTGGGATACCTTAACTAATTTAAGAACATTTTACTGGACATCCCATGTTTACCAGCTTTAGCCCTCAAATCAGCTTCTTGCTCCAGGCACATCTTTGTTAGAAGCAGCTCAAGGAATACTAAATTTTGGAAGCAAAGCACCATAGATATTTCTTCAGGAAGAATGATCCCAAGACAAGCCAAACAATTTTTGATATCTCAACTAACATTATCCCTAAGCGGAAAGGAAAGGGTGCTTGAGAAAATAGAAATCAGCAGGCCAGTTCATCCCAGAAGATCAGGAGCCTTCTTCCTCTCCCTTTTTAGGATATCTATCTTTTTAAAGCTTCCTTTTGGACCAAGGCCCCAATTTCCCTTCTCATTAGCTTGTGACCACATTTTTTTTCAAATAAGAGATGCTCCCTTGTCCTTCTTTTTGCTTCCCTTCTGTTCTTCCTAATATTACTACTCCTACAAAGCTTAAGTAGCAGCAAAAGAATATCACAAATCTTTTAAAATAAATTATAAAATATTTATATCCCACTCTCTAGAAGAAAAGGGATCATTTTTCTTTTCTTTTTTCTTTTGTTTAATTAAAGGTCTTCATATATTCATTTTCAAAAGGAATATGAGTCTTCTAACATGATATGAAGGGAGAATGTTTATTTTAATCAGTTATCTTTTATATTAAGCATTGAGGTACAATAAACTAACCTTTATGCTACTGACTGTATTGCATTTTCTGTTTGTGGCATAAAATGACATTGTACACCAGATGAGAAAATGCCAGGTGCTATCACAGTGTATTTCAAACCATTCTATCTTCAACATGCTATAAAGCATTTAATGCTTAAATGGCAAGCTGAGGGGAGTTAAAGAAAGGAAGGACCTTTTCAAAGAATGGAGAGGTGCAGATTTGGATAGACCTGAAGGTCATTTCCTACAATCTTTCTTAGAAGGAGACATGTGACATCTAAAGAAAGCTTACTTATTAAGCCATGCTGCTTGTTGCATAGTAGAGAAAACTCCATGAACTGGAAATGTGTTTCAGACAGCAGTCAAATTTTCTTTCTTTCTTTCTTTCTTTCTTTCTTTCTTCCTTCCTTTCTTTCTTTCTTTCTTTCTTTCTTTCTTTCTTTCTTTCTTTCTTTCTTTCTTTCTCTCTCTCTCTCTCTCTCTCTCTCTCTCTTTCTTTCTTTCATCAAATTCTGCATCAAGATTGCCCTAATTTCCATTTCATGAAATCCAAACCTGTGGGAGTTCAATGCATACTAATTGCCCACCACTCTACTTATTTGATTAGTTTGGCCGTAAAATAAGTCTTGACTGAGTCCAGTACTTGAACATCTTACTTTAGACTCACATAAGAGAGTCTATCTTTTTCATATACTTTACATAGGAGAAAATGTCTATGGAGATTCTGAGTAATCCGGGTCATGGTTGTCTCAAGATGCTTTTTCAAAAGGTAACTAGACTATGTTTTTTTTCTTTGAGGAAGAAGATGTTTTGCTTCCTGTCCAAGAAGCTTCCTCAACTCTAACTCTCATCAAACAGTACTGATGAAGCTTCTTGGATGAGAAGTGAAACATCTTTCTCAAGGAAAAAACATAGTCCAGTTGCTTCATGGTAACAAAAGACAAATTCCTGCTACAAAATGAATAGACTTCTTGATTTTGAATTAACCTTTCCATTTAGTTTCACATTTATGCTGATTTTGCACTTATTCATCACATGTGTCTAAGTGAAAACAATGACATGCCCTATTAATCTCAAGTTCTGCCATAAAGTTGACCATGCTTGAAAAATCTTTTTATTTAACTATCTGTGGATATAGTAAAACGTATTTAAATATTAACTTAGCCCGTCAACATAGATTATGAGTGGAAATGATTTGGAAATATTTGAAAAACAAAATGTACAATTAGGTGATTCTACAGATAAAATTACATTCTCTTCCTTAAAAATAGGCTATTTAGGCACATATTCATAATGTTCCCTGTGCCTTATTGAGGAAAAAAAATGCAATGATTCAAATAACAACATTTTTGTAAGGTTTTTATGTTCTCTAGTCCTTAAGATGAAGTTTAAATCATTAGATGGGTGTGTGAGAGAGTAGGATGCCACTAGGGGGAAAAAGTGACATGAATCAGACTTGATTTTAAGTGCATGTACTCTTTCCATTGCTTGTTCAGTGTAGAACAATATACTGGACTGATAGATGTATGAATGATACCATACGATTATTCTTATGTTCATACAGTATGAGCAGAAAATATCATTTTTGACTAAACATTGCAACATTTAAGCAATCAATGAACTTGGTGAGTTATTTCTACCATGTTTTATTAAATATATATTTCAGCATACAAGATAGTTCTGGAGAAATTACACAAAGGATCAATCATCAAAACAGGACAGGCATTTTCCAGCAAGTATTTTGAAAATACATAATGTTTTCATTAATGTTCTGATTGATGTGTATTGTCCTTGCCTTACAGTACCCACCAAGCCAAGGCCTCACAGTGATGAATACACCAAGAAGGTTCCTCCCCCAAAGCCAAAGCGGAATCCAAACACTCAACTAAGTGCATCTTTTGATGAAACCTATATCAAAAAGCATGGCTCCATAAAGTCTGTGCTAAGTAGAGATTCTTCTTTGACCCAAGTCAGCAGTCCTGCTCCAGATGCAGAGGAAGAAGAGCCAGTTTATATTGAAATGGTTGGAAATATATTAAGAGACTTCAAAAAAGATGAGGAAGATCAAAATGAGGCGGTGTATGAAGAAATGAAATATCCCATCTTTGAGGATGGAGGCCAAGATTCAAAGTGTCCATGTGAGTTTGACCATCACAGCTGTTCCTCTCAGTGTGCTACTCCCACAGTGCCTGACCTTGATTTCACCAAGCCCTCAGTGCCACCCACTCCCAAAGGTGTGATTTGTGATATCCCACCACCATTCCCAAATTTGCTTCCTCACAGACCACCACTCTTGGTATTCCCACCTGCACCAGTGCAATGTTCCCCAAATTCCGATGAATCTCCTTTAACACCTTTAGAAGTCACAAAGCTTCCCGTATTAGAAAATGTGTGTTACATTAAACAGCAAACTGGAGTGTCTCCATCATCATTGCCACCTCATACTCCAAGTCATCAAAAACTAGAGAAAGACCAGACAGCTTCCCATGGAACTAGTACTCCAGGGCACTCCTCTTCACCTCCTCATCCTTCTACCCTATACAGAACACAGTCTCCCCATGGCTATTCCAAAAGCCACTCGGCCTCTCCCTCTCCTGTGAGTATGGGTCGGTCACTTACTCCTTTAAGTCTCAAAAGACCTCCTCCTTATGATTCTGTACATTCAGGAAGTCTCTCAAGAAGTTCTCCATCAGTGCCTCATTCTACTGCCAGAAACATATTGCAAGAAGGAGGGAAAATGGTAAATGCCTCTGTCAACACCTACGGGTCATCATCACAGAGTACTTCACGTTCTAGAACACCCACTAGTCCTCTGGAGGAATTAACCAGCCTTTTTACCTCAGGACGAAGTTTACTGAGGAAATCTTCCAGTGGAAGAAAATCTAAAGAGCCTGCAGAAAGTAAGTGTTACTTATGATTCTTTTCCAATAATTTTTTTCTTCAAACATCCAACAGTGAAACTTGTATCTTACATATATACTGACATCCCTCCCTAACATGAACTGAATTTCTAATAGTCCAAAAGTGAAGTTTCATAGATTTAAAATATTCATGATATACTATTACATTTAATTTGCAAAAATGTTTATAGAGTATTAGGGAGAAATTGTTTAAAGTAAATGTTCACAAGGCAATGGATATGTATGCTTTTTTCATTTTTTTTAAAAAATATAATTGATAATAAACCAGAATGGACATAGATTGTGGTAGATTTGTTAACCTTTACTGAATTTTAGTAGCAATGAAATAATTTGGTTCACATTGAAATGAAAAAGTTTCATTTATTTGACATAATATCAAAAGGCAAATAAAAAAACCATATATTTCAAGCATTTTCTATGAATTCATAAACATGATTTCTGCATATTGATATAATATATTATTTGCAAACAACTGTAGATTAGTTTCATCTACAAAACACACAATCTTTGGTACAAATTATGCCCACCATCTATGCAAATCCTACAAATACATCTGGAAAAGAATGAGGAAAAAATAAAATATTTGGAAGAAATTAAAAAATGTTTCTAAACCAAGAGAGATGCATGTGCACACACACACATTTACAGACATACATGATTCACCTAGTATGGACGGGGATTTTGAAAGCAAAGGGTGGGTGGAATTTATCTACACAAGTGATCTTGATCAGAACCTGGCTCCTATGGATTTATACTGTCATCCAAAACAAATCAGAGAAAGCAACAGGAACTTACACATTAAATCGAACTTATAAGCAGAGGAGTTGCTTTTTTTTAAAAAGGATTGCCAGATCTGTTTTGAAATATTAAGCAGGTACTGAGTTGCCATTACTCAATTGTCATCTTTCTTTGTTTTCTTCTTATGGTTTTAAAATGCTTAAATATAATTTTAAACTTTGACTTTAATAAAACCATGAAACAAAACCATTGCATCTCAAAATGCTTTTTATGAAATAAATAAGTAAATAAATTTAAGGACTGGCATCTTTAAATGGCTTGAGGCTTAAGTGCTTCTTTAGATTTGCAGGTCTTTGTCCTTAAAATCAGATTAGATTGGGGTGGGGGGCAGAGTTAATTTGAAAGAAAGCAAGAACAGACAAAGAAAAACAGCAAACATAAAAAGCATCTCAGTGTTTTGCATTACATTGTTTCTGATTATCTTTTCCATGTCAGAGACAGTTTTGGTAAAGATTCTTGGAAAAATGAATAAAGTGCAGATAGGAATTGAATAATAACTCTTTAATAGTATTACAAAGTAAGTATGTCTGATATACTATTCCCTGGAGGTGCTATAAAACCATTTATGAATGACTTTGACTTATCTTGAAGTCAATAGAGCTGAGATATACTTTTAAGAGTTTATTTTCTAATTCTGTAATTTAAATAGCAATCAGCAATAAAATATGTCTTTTGGACAGAAAAAAAATAGCACAGAAAATACACTGAGCCCAATAAACTGTGCATTTTTGGTGTTCTTTGTAGGATAGCAGCCAAATTTTAGATGATTTATATGTTATAAAGCCACATTTTTCTCTTTTATAAATTTCTCACTCTTTTTCTTTATACTTCTGTAGAAAGTTGCCTTATTATTCCATATGGGATTGTTTAGTGATCTAGCCTAATACTGTTGTTTGAATGCCATCAAACAGAGGCTTATTATGTCCCACCAACTACTGACTTTCTTTTTAAGTAGTGATGCAGAAATTGAAACATGCAGCTTTGGTATACAAAATATAAAACTTTCTACTAAGTCGTAGATTAATTCCATCATTTATTGTTCCTATCACAAAATCAATCTGCATCCAATGTTGGTCACCACAATTTAAAAAAGATGTTGAGACTCTAAAAAGCAGAGAAGAGCAACAAAGATGATCAGGGGACTGGAGGCCAAAACATATAAAGAATGGCTGTTGTAATTGGGTATGTCTAATTTAATGAAGAGAAGGACTAGGGGTGACATGATAGCAGTGTTCCAATATCTCAGGGGCTGCCACAGAGAAGAGGGAGTCAAGCTATTCTCCAAAGCACTTGAGGGCTGGGCAAGAAGCAACAGATGGAAACTAATCAAGGAGAGAAGCAACCTAGAACTAAGGAGAAATTTCCTAACAAATACAACAAGTTATTAGTGGAACAACTTGCCTCCAGAAGTTGTGAGTGCTCCAACACTGTAGGTTTTTAAGAAGAGATTGGACAGCTATTTGTCAGAAATGGTACAGGATTTCCTGCCTGAGCAGGGGGTTGGACTAAAAGACCTTTAAGGTCCCTTCCAATTCTGTTATTCTGTTAAGACGCAGTCAACCATATGATGGGCAGGAATATTGGCTATTATATTAATATAGTTTTTGGAATAGTGCTGTGGGAATTAGTGATTTTATACTTAAGTGTATGAGAGAGAGACAAACTGAAAGAATGAGTCACTGAAAAAATTTCACTGAAAAATATTTCATCTTTGTACAGTAACTTGGCAGCTTGCAGTCAATCATGTAAAAATCACACTTTATTTGTGTGTATGTGTGTGTTTTGAGATTAAAGTGTACAATAATTAGTAGAAAACAACGCCAGATTTGTGATTTTGTGGGATGCAATCAAATCTGGATTTAGAATAATGAATAATAACAAAGCAATTTCTGAATTTGTATATCTATGTGTCTGTGTGTAAAAGTGAGAGAGAAAAGAGCATATCGCAATATTTAGAAATGATGAAGTACATATGACATAAAATATTGCTGAAAATAAATTTTATTTAATAGGAAAACACAAATTCATTGCTAATAAAATATGTTCTAACTTGACAATATCCAATGTATTATTTTTAAACTAATTTTAAGCAAACTCATACCTTTTAAAACTTTCCAAATAAACAGAGATTTAATTTAAATATGAGTCTTTCCTTTGTCCTCTATTAATTTTTTAAAAATCATCAGTCTCCATATACATTTTTAAAGACAAAAAAGAACTCCATTCACTCGATCAGTAAAGTATAATTTTTGCCATTATATGCTTACTTTTCCTCCAAAACAAGTTTTAAGAATGCCTCTTTCATAGCAAATAAAGAATCCTAGGGACCTGAGTAAGGATTTAACCTATCTAATGTGAAAGTGCATGAGCAAAGTTCCAATTTTATATACTGGGCTTATGAAATTGTATGGGCAAAGACCCAGTTTTATATACCATGCTTATAGTCTGGAATGATTCACCCTATCCATTTGCTATTAAGAACTTTCAGGGATGAAAGGCAGTCATAGGGTAGCTAAAACATGCTGAAGCAAAGTAACTTCTGGTGTCGAATCTGGTAGTGTAATTGGTTAATCTGGATTCTGAACTTGGATGGTTATAGCCCATAAGTATAAGCCATGTATATAGGTTATATACATTGCTCAAGCAGAGATAAAAATGATTAGATTCTCCATCAAAAACCATCCTACAAGATACTTTCTGGTGAACCTGACTATCTGAACACAGGAGAGCCTAAGTTGCATTTGACTAGTATTCATTTGTTAATTCCTTGCATCATGTAGTATTTCTCACAAGCCAGGAACCAAGATTTTCTTCTTTAAACTTTTGTCCCAGAAAATCAATTCTGCCTGGTGTGCAATGCCCAATAAACCTCACACTGAGGTGGAGATTTGCAAAAGCTTTATTTTTCTGTGCAGAAAAAAGGACATGGGGGGGGATCACTCCCACTAAGCCTGTGCAAAGACCACTCCTGTAACAATACAGCTTTTATAGGTACTTCTCCATAAACCAACCTTAAGATAACCTATCTTAGGTCTCCTATGATCTTATCAATGTTTATTAATATTGGTTAGCTTATGTTTGCAATGTCTAGCACCCATTAGCACATTTTCCCCTAATTTCCAGTAACAAATAATACACTATGCCATAATTAGTACACAATTAGCCTCCCCCTTTTCCCAAGCCGTTGCCTTTGGCATATCTGTAAAACACACAGAGAGACATTCAGACACAGAGAACAGAGACACAGACATAGACACAGACACAGACACACACACATATATATTGAACCTCAGGTTCCCTGTTCATGCAGTCGCCTTCTTCCATGACTACATTAAGAGCAAGATGTTCTGAGGACTTTACTAGCTAAGCTGTTTCCATTACTTCTTATGCACTAGCAACTGATTGGAAAATGTCTGCAAATAATAATTCCCTATAGAGATTAGGTTTTTAGGAGAGGGGTCTTATGGTCTTTCTTTCAGAACTCTAGCCTGAATATTTTAGCTTTTGCATAACTTCTTATGCTAATTTTTGTTATTTTAGTTGATAGGAGTAGCTACATATATAAATGAAATTTATCACTTTCAATCTTCCTTCTATATCACTGAAAACATACTTTGTGTAGCAAATATACATTGTATCAATCATAGTGTAATATTAGATGGGGAAGAAATGGAGGTAGTGACAGATTTTATCTTCCTGGGCTCCAAGATCACCACAGATGGGGACTGCAGCCAAGAAATAAAAAGACTCTTGCTCTCGGGAAGGAAAGCTATGGCAAATCTAGACAGCATACTAAAAAGCAGAGACATCACCCTGCCAATAAAAGTATGTATAGTCAAGGCCATGGTTTTCCCAGTTGAAATGTATGGCTGTGAAAGTTAGACCATAAGAAAGGCTGAGTGCAAAAGAATTGAGGCCTTTGAACTATGGTGCTGGAGAAGACTCCTGCGAGTCCTCTGGACTGCAAGGCGATCAAACCAGTCAGTCCTAGAGGAGATCAACCCTGACTGCTCTTTAGAAGGCCAGATCCTGAGGTTGAAACTCAAGTACTTTGGCCACCTAATGAGAAGGGAGAACTCACTGGAGAAGAGCCTAATACTGGGAAAGATTGAGGGCAACAGAAGAAAGGGATGACAGAGAATGAGGTGGCTGGATGGAGTCACTGAAGCATTAGGTGTGAG